GGGAAGGCAGGAGGCGGGGAGAACTCAGGACAGGCTGCTCCAACCATGGGTATTTACATGGTCAGACTGGTGAGCTGGGCACGGCATGTTATGTGGGAAACGAAAGCAAAATGAGAACGTCCCAGCACTTGACAGATTAAGAGTGAGAAGTGCATCGGGGGGCCGTGCGAAGATAAGTGGACAGAGGCCATACTGGATTCTGTGAGCTTGGGTGCAGTGTACGATGATTCCACGAAAACCAACTGATTTAGGGCCAATTCCAAGTATAGTTGTACTATGGCTAACTGTATGGGCCCAAGTTTTTTTTGTAAAACTTCTTCTCAGGTCCCGTCCCCTGTGTCACAAGTCAGGTGATTTGTACTGTGGCAAATCCCACTTGGGTGGAGATAGAAGAAGGAACAGTGAGTCATCCTCCCAAGGACAGGTTCCCACTAGCCGCTGAGGAAGAGGGCGGCCAAAATAAGAACTACCACCGGAGAGGAATTTACCGAAGGGCCTTGCTCCTCGTGTCAGAAAACTCTTCTGGGAAGCCTCGTCCGTGGAAGCCACCTCAGTCTCCCTGCTCACACCTTTCTTGCTCAGGACCAAGGAACAGTAGGTGCCAGTTGACAGAGAGGAAGAAGACCCTTAGAGACAGGATGGGGTCTTGGTGGCTTCCCCCATTTGTCTCTCCCCTGTCTCACTGTAGACTAAAGATCCCCTTCTCAGACAGCCACGACAGAAGTTACTCGTCCCTTTGCCTACCATTTGCACGTTCGCAAAGTAACTGTTCTTTAAAACTCGAGTACGGTGGGGCAAAGACTCTGGTATTTGCCGCATCGCTAATTATATCTTCAATCTTTCCCAGGAAAGACTGTATCTTCACCATTGACCCATCTACTGCCCGCGACCTCGATGATGCCCTCTCCTGCAAGCCGCTTGCTGACGGTAGGATGGAAATTTCTAGACCTTTCCGGGTAGCGGGCAGTCTGCATGCCTTTGTGGTCAGTCTGGCCGCCTCGTACTTCCCAGGCTGTGTAATGTGCAGGGTTGGGTTTGCTTTGTTCCTGAACTTGCCCCTGAGCCTACACAGCACGAGACCTAAAGATTGTGTTCCTGTGGTGACTTTGATGAGGGCGAGCATGAGAAGGGTCCTCTCGCTGGGATCCTTCTGGGCCTCAGTGGAGGCAGCAGTGAGGACAGAAGAATGACTTCCAGGCCTTGGCCCCTCAGGAGGTTCCAGTTTGGGTGTAGCGTGTTAAAGAAGAAAGCCCTTAAGCTCTGCTTAGGAGACGCATTGGGTTCTTTACCTGAATTTGCCAACAGGTTGGGATGATGTGGGAGTATCCTCCAAAGGCGAATCGGCAGCAGGTAGCAGGAGCGCCATCCCTGACAATGCCCTCGAGACCCGGCAGGTCATCGTCCCGGCAGATTGTGAAAGGCAGCTGGTAGGGGCTCCTTGAGCATTCTTTTGGGCCGGAGCTGAGCAGGAAGAGTGGGATTTGAGGCCAGTGGTCTTGGACAACTACAGTAGGGCGGAAGGGAAGATGTGTAGGGTATGAGAAGAGCAAACCCTATCACGCCCGCTCCAATGTCCCCTCCCCCACCACATGCTAGTTATAGTCTTGAGTTACTCCTGGGCCCTCTCTAGGATGGTGTCTAGGTGACTGCTTTGGCTTTAGTCATTCTTGGATACGGCTTTGGCACTATCACGGGCTTTGACGGCTTGCCGATGATGGGTATCCACCCTTGTGGTTTCAGTCTGCTGCAAAGTGTTGATGGCCCAGCAGCCTAGTCTTTTAAAACGTTGCAGAGGTGTTCGTGTAGTTCATTAACGCAAAATTCCGTAGGTTCAGTGTGTGATCTCTTCTTTACTAGTGTAGGCTGTGAAGATTAGTAGAAAGAAGGCTGAGAGACAGAAAACATCATTACCTAAAAATGCTTTTATCGTCTTTTAGTGGGAGTCCTCCTTGAAACTCTAGGCAAGCTTGCTCAGTATTTTCAACTAAAAAAAAAATGGAAAGAAAGATACAACATTAAAAAGAGAAAAGTCCCCATAGAAGTTTTAGAGCAATGATATACTTTTAAAATCCAGAATGTAAGCAGCCTACTTAAAAAAAACACATACTGGGTTGGTTTCCCATCTTCTGAGCAATATTTGCTAAGTGCAAAGGCTTGAACGTATCGCTCTCTGTGAGTCCACTCCCCTGAACTCCAGTGTGAAAAGTGCCCCCAGGAAGCAGGAAGCCAGGTGACAATAGACCTCACCTCTGTATTTCTCTTCTCTCCAGGTTCGCAGCCCTGCTCTGTTTGTAGCCTCATGCTTGGAAACAGTTGTTTCCTTTATTGTGTCCCCTTTATGGTCGTTAATGGCACAAGGATAGGTCCAATGCCCGTTAGTGCGTCTTGGCTGGCCTGGATGGTATTCTCCTCACAGGGATACCAGGGAGCAAGCACGTGTCCTGCCCTGCTCACTCTACCTACCACCTACTACATCTCCTGTCTAGGGCAGCTGATGAGCAGCACAGGTTTCACGTAGGGAATTGGTAGACGACAGGGCAGGAAGAGTAGACTGGGGACAAATTGTACGTGTTTATAAATTTCCAACCAGAGAATGTTCTTTGTCAGACTACCGAAAACCAGTTGTTTTCAATCTCTTGTTCAAGGAGAGCAGTCAAAATAAGGAAAATAATTCAACCGTACAAGACGAAGGAAGAGGAGAGGAAGTAGAGGCAGAGAAGCATTGTAATCACTTAGGGAAATGGGTGATAAATTGGACTGGGGGTGGTGGCAGTGTGAAGGAGGGTGGGGAGGGCAGATGTGAGAAAGGGCGAATGACAGATGAATCAATGCAAACGGACACGGGGGTTGAGAGAGAGGAGTCCGAGAGGGAACAGAGGTTGCAACCTGGATGATGGGGAACTGGAATTTACAAGTTAGAAACCAGGACGTCAGGAGGACGAGCTGGTTAGGGAGAGGTTGTGTCTACGTGGAGTTGTCTGTCTGGTGATGCCCATTTACCTAAGCTGCTGCACATCCTTCTCCAGAGGAGGCAGGGTACAAATAAGCCCTATAACCACATACACAGAGAGCCCTGAAGAAAAGTAGACAACACACCAAAGTGCAAACAGCAATTTTTTTAGGATAATGGGATCATAAGTGTTTTTTGGTCTTTTCTCTGGTTTCCAAGCTTTTATAATGTGGTAATAATAGTTTTATAATGAAAAAATTTTTGTAATAAAAAAAAATTATGAGGTGCCAGAAATCACAGGCTGCCCAGTAGTGCACTGCACCAGGTGATCAGATACCTTGTATCTGCTTAGTTATTCTCGCATTCCAGAGGAGTAATTAACATGTGGTCATTTGGCAGAGCAGCAGAAAAAGGACATGGAAAAGGAGTCAGAGAAGAATCTGAAAAGGCGAGGGTTGGTCAGTCAAGCGTTTTTATGGTGGCACTTCTACAGTTGGCCTTTGTGACAATGGTTTCTGCCAAAGCTATTTATCCAGGGAGATGAAAACTGAAAGTCAATTCCAGTTTGGATTGGGGTGAGGTTGGCTAAGTTCAGGTTCCGTTAGTTACCAGTTCATGTCAATTTTTGCTTAGAGGAAAAAATGTTTAATGTTTCAAGAAGCAAATAATGTTTTCTGGCCATATTTACATCATCTATAACCATTTTTATTTAAAGAAAGTATCGAGGCCAGACTTTCCTTTGGTCCTATTGAAATCATCTGAATGACTGTTCTGTGCAAATAAAACCTGCCGACAGATGCAACTCAATTTAGTCCTCACTGTCCCATTCTGTAGAATTCCGAAGTCCCCTCAGGACTTGTTACCAGTGTCTCCTATAGGTGCGAGACTTAGACCCCACAGTCTGCAGATAAATTCTGCGGAAAGGCAGTGACACCTGCTCTCCGGTATGTGAGGGCTATGCTGGCAGGCTGATGAGGGGTGCCCCCTACCCTCAAGAAATCTCCGCCCTGGAAGGGATTCTCCCGTCATCTAGCCTGCGAATTCCCCACTTCCGGGAGCCTACAAATACATTTGAGTGGAACATTCCCCGGGCATCACCCAGCGCACTAACTTTAATGCAGAGCAATTCACTTTTGCTCGAGAAAGTACTGAATAACGCAAGTGAATGAGAGTGGCAGTGTAGTGATAACCCAGAATCTAAAGACAGCAAATCACACCCTCCCTCGTTTTATTACTGGAACAGATCACTTGCAACACACCTCACAGTTGACCTCACCACTCAAGTGCGGGAATGCCACAGTTGTCACATCACCCTCTGTTTTTCAGATTACCTCCACAGCATCCACTTATTGAATATCCAGATTGCCTTTTAACGCTCTACCTTGCCGGCAGCCCATTTGGCCTTCAGATTGCATGACTATTAGGAAACCCTTCCCTGTAATGAGCTGAAATATTGCTGTCTTCCAACAGTTTTCTTTCCTTGGGTCCCATCCGTACCTATTGGAGTCCAGAGAACAAGTCTTGTCTGTCATGTGACCATGCCCGAGGCACTAGATAGCAGCTGTCTTGTATATCTGCTTCGCAACTTCTCAGCTAAGCAACCTTTTCAGAGGACGTGGGGTACAAATATATATATATATGTATATATATACATATATATATATATATAAATATGCGTATATATTTATACATTATATATAAATAAATATATAATAATATAATATATATATATTCTTCCATGTGCTGTAGCTTTTTTTTTTTTTTAATTTTTTTTTTTCAACGTTTATTTATTTTTGGGACAGAGAGAGACAGAGCATGAATGGGCGAGGGGCAGAGAGAGAGAGGGAGACACAGAATCGGAAACAGGCTCCAGGCTCTGAGCCATCAGCCCAGAGCCCGACGCGGGGCTCGAACTCACGGACCGTGAGATCGTGACCTGGTTGAAGTCGGACGCTCAACCGACTGCGCCACCCAGGCACCCCCCATGTGCTGTAGCTTTTAAAGCTTGAGCCTGTTTCCCATGTCATGGAGTCACTTCTGCCTTGATGAGGTCTGAGGTACATGGCAGCCTCTATCCAGACTTCTCCATGGCCATCAGGGCACGGTGACTCTCCCAGCCAGTTGCTTCTTCCTGGGCTGACCCAAGTCCAGAGGAACAGGCACCTGTTCTCTTCAGTGAGACAAGCCTTCTCACTTTGCTTTAGTCTCAAGAGGAAATTGTTAGGCAGGACCTTTACTCAGCTTAGCTGATTCAGGCTCCCACCAGATCCTGCGGGAAATTGATGTTCACTGCCTCTCTCACAGCTGCTTTTTCCAATGTTTTATTCTCTAATGAGCGCTCTGCCTTTAGACGTGGCAGGATCGTGCTAGGAAGGCCTTAGACATGAAGGATTTGGGCTGGGGAAAGGGGGGGAATGGGGAATGACTGCTAATGGGTGTGAGGGTTCTTTTTGGGGTGATGAAAATGTTCTGAAATTAGATGGGTGGTAGTTGCACAACTCTCAATATACCAGAAACCACTGGAGGGGGGGGGGGTGGAATGAGTGAATGGATGAATGAATAAGAACAAACAAACAACCCATTCCTCCTTGAGGCTTTCTGAGGAGTTTACACCTTAACCACAACTTAGTGGAAGTCTGGAGGGAATGCCTGGGCTGGATACCCATAGTCACATCCCTCTCACCTGTCTCTCCCCTTTCTGCTTTCTTCACTGAGCCATGAAATCCCCGTCCAAGGAGCACACCCCTCTATTCAACCAACTGCTCACGTTTCCTGTCCCCACAGAGCGCAGCCATCTGACTCAAAGAAAGCAGGATCCGACCTACTGTCCAGGTGTAAGAAAATGCTCAGATAAACAGAAGTCATCCAGCCTGAGAGGTCTCAGGAATGCAGGTTACTTACTTTGCTGTAGGGGGTGCCAGTCTTCTGGCCTGGTTTGCCTCTGTTGCCTTCCTGGTTGCATGGCTTTCCCTTCTCT